TTTCTTTGAATTCAGACGCCAATATGATGACGTCACAATGTCCGATCAGCCATTATGATCTATAAAATCATATTTACAACTTATGTGCTTTCAGAATATGTAATAAAAATGGGGGGTCACCTTTCAACCTAAGGAGCTATAACTGATTAAAAATAGGTCTGATTTTAGCATAATTTCACTGTAAATGGCACAAATACGCGCAAAGATACCTATGTTTGATGCGCACGTACGGTATTGCTATTGGCCAAAAGATGACCGAAAAGAATGGAAGTTTGTGAAAACAATGTCAGGAACCCAAACTATGGCTATGTTCAGACACAACGATTTACGCTAGCGTAACGTTAATCGAGTGGTGTGAACTTGCTGTCTCTTATACACATCATGCCTCACGATATGCGATTGAACAAGTACTGTTCCCCATGAGAACATTGTAGAACTGCCTGCAGTTTAACATTTCAGTATTTATTGTAAAAGAGAACTAGCAAAATGATTTTTTGTTCTAGAGAGGATTTTTGAATTGCCATTAATAATAGAATCAACCTTAAAATCGTTTTTTGGCTTTTTTAAAATGAAGTTATAGGCGATTATACACGATTTTACCATGACGTCACTGGCGAAAAAGTAACAAAAGATCGAATAAATAGTATCCGCTGCGTACGATCTTAGCGTGTATGCTGTAACCATGGCTGTAAATTATGATTGTTACAGCATGCACGCAAAGATCGTACGCGGCGGATATACCCTACGCGGTGGATATCCTACGCGGCGCTATTTACACGATCTTTTGTTAATTTTTCGCCAGTGAAAAAAATGTTTCTTTATTTTTATTTTTTGGGCCTACCATGTTGTTTAATACGACAAATAATAAATTTAAAGTGTTAAAAATGTTGTATATAGCAGGGAAAAATGCAAAGGAGTGGAAATCAAGCTTTAATTAGCAAAAATCTAATGATGGTCACCGAATGGGTATTTTATAAGCCGAGAGAAAAAATGGAAACAGATAGAAAAATTCATAACTGTGAGTGAGGGGACACAATCTTATATATACTTGCACTATATTTGGGGTTTACATTTCTTCTAATAAAAAAAAAAAAAAAAAAAAAAAAAAAAAAATGTCATTCTAAACTAAAAGAACAATTGGATTGCACACTGTCGAAAAAAATATATATGATCATATGTTAAAGTCTGCTAAGAGAAGCTTATCCGACTTTAAAGGACTTTCCGCCCTTTTTCTGGAGGTTCCCACCGCCCGCCCGTTCATTTTTGTTATCTAGTGATGCTAAATCAATAGAGAAACGTTGGTCCCTGAAAAAGGTCACCGGGGCCCTGATTTTCACTACAAAATAGGAAAGAAAGGGGGAAAGAAAGAGATAAAAGAAATGAAAATCGTAAGACAGAAAAGGAAAAGAATAAGAAAAAAAACATAAAAAAAGGAATGGAAAGGAAGCATACGAAAGAAAAGGAGAGACTAAAACAGAAAATGAACCATAGAAACAAAAGGAAACATTAGAAAGGAAAAAAGAAGTAAAGGAAACATAAAAAAGGATATGAAAAAGAAAGGAAACATTGACAAAAAAGTGTACAAAAGAGAAAAATGAGAAGGTAAAGTAATAAAATGATGAGTCTTGTTACATTTTCTTCTTATGATATGTATCTTGTTTTTTGTTTGTTTATTATTATTATTATTATTATTATTATTATTATTATTAATAGGCATATTATATTATTATAAGGCCTATTTTTATTATTAGTAATAGGCATATTATATTATTATAAGGCCTATTATTATTATCATTATTATTATTATTATTATTATTATTAACAACACGATATTCAAGCTTAAAACATTGATTAATTTAGTCTTTTTGCAAGTACACGACTTTTGAAACCAAGAGATTTTTGCTTTTCTCCCCTTTTTAACTTTCACTTTTGTATTAGTAATATTGCGACTACACTATTGTGAGTGGAAATAATATCAGTCTATTGTCAAATAAAGTGAAATCACCTCGACCTGACAAAATAACGTAATTGGATGAAAAAAATCATCATCAAAACACTAATTTCAATATGAATGACCAATCCTGTCTAGGCATTATGCCCGCAAAAATGCGAAGCTTTGGTATAGAATTCCGCCACCATTGACAGAGGTCTGAAGGCCCTGGCCTTAAAAAAAAAAATTACCTCTAGCGACTTCGTTGGCTTTAAATTGCCATTTCGGCTGTCCACCGACCAAATATCTTGTTGTTCATTCCCCAGTAAACGGAAAGCTGAATATTCATAGATTCTTCTTATGTAAAATAAATTTATATATTTAAACAATATTTTGTGAGGGTGGTCCATCCAGCCTGAGCTGATCAATTGGGACCCTCAGTACATACAATTAGAACATAAGTATAAAAATTAAACTTGAACTTGAACATAAACAAATTAATTAAATTAAACCAGAATATGAATTCCCATTGGATGAAAAAAAAACAACATCATACAAATTTCAATATGAATGAACAATCCTGTCTAGGCATTATGCTCACAAAAATGCGAAGCTTTGGTATTGGCTTCCGCCATTGTCAGAGGTCTGAAAGCCATGGCCTTATGTGTATAAGAGACAGATATATATAAAATTGGTTCGTGTGGGAATCGAACACACAACCACCAGGTTTGCTATTCATTATCCACTATCAAATAAACTGCCTTAAAAAAAAAATAAAAAAAATAAAAAAATTGGTTTGTGTGGGAATCGAACACAAAACCACCAGGTTTGCTATTCATTATCCACCATCAACTAAACTGCCTTAAAAAAAAAAAAGAAAGGTTCGTGTGGTTGGTTCGTGTGGGAATTGAACACACAACCACCAGGTTTCCCGTAACATGATTAGTCTATTTTTTTTCTAATTTGCATAATGAATTTTTCAAACATTTTTCTCTATTTAAAAAAAAAGTGCGTAAGTTATGGAGATGGTAACAATCAAAAATCGAATATAAATTTAATTCTACATTTTTAGACATAAAAATAAACCCTCTTGGCCCACGTCCCATTTTTGACACCATGACCATGTGTAATATTAACCTGCATTGTATATATACAAAGAATTTTTTCTAGTAGGATTAGAGTTGACTGGTACTGGTACTTGGTGTACTTGGTGTGGTACTAGGTTTATCGCATTTATGGCTTAGGGACCGCGGTTTACCTCCCTCCGTTTAGTCATGCTGGATCAGGAGTAGTAAACTTTTTTAATAAATAAGGCAGTTTAGTTGATGGTGGATAATGAATAGCAAACATGGAGATTGTGTGTTCGATTCCCACACGAAACATTTTTCCCTTTAAAGCAGTTTAGTTGATGGTGGATAATGAATGTATTGTACTCATTGATGACGTCGCGAAATAACAACAAACAACAGCGTGTCATGTCCTAGCCTAGGCCGACATGGAAGCTCACTGGCTCTTGTGTAATTCAGGTTGAGCCAACTGCAGACGAAAAGGTTACAATCTTTTCAGAGATAAGCTGGTAGAAAGTTTTAGACAGTGCCCATTGTACTGGGTTCGATGGGAATAAATACGGTCCCGGCCCAGTGAGTGTCAACACGTACAATAATAATCACACGGCCAACTGTTGGATTCCATGCAATTTATTAAGCACGGTGAAAACTATAAATAAAATAACAAGTTATAATTAGAACGAGTTAATTACTTCTACTAATCACCATATCACGTTTTATCACAATAATACGATCAGTCCTAGTGACGCTATTATAACAATAGGCTTATACCTACATACGTATTAAACTAACGTACTTTACTATCGGCGTTTACTTATATTTTATGGGCGTATATCTTACCGTTAATATTGCCTACATTATATACATACATATAATATCTTATCGTTCATGTTATTATATGTTCATTATATACATTACTTACACGACTGTTCAGGCGATATGTGTCTGATACCTGTAGCTCTTATTGATGAAATGCATCTTAACAAAGAGTATAAATAGAACAAGAGAGCAAGTCCCGTTCGTAAAAACGTCACGCCTGTGTAGGACGCCCACTAACGGTTGTATATTCTTTTTATTTCCCAGTGCAGCGCTGCGCAGCGCGGTAGAAGTACGCCCGCTATAAACTCAGTAAGCAGAAAACAAAAGTACAGTATCTTGTGGAGAACAGATAAACAGACAAACCTACCGTGCGTGGTGGAGTACTGGGTAATAAAACACATACAAGCGTTAGTTGGCGTCCTACACTAGCTGTGTAGAGCGTATCGTTTTTTTACGCTCTCAATGAGCGTTGTTGGCTCTCTTGTTCTATTTATACTCTTTGATCTTAAGAACGAAACGTACGGTATAAAGCTATGTTCAGACACAACGAATTACGCTAGCGTAACGTTAATCGAGTGGTGTGAACTTAGCGAACGCCAGTATTATCACTGGCGTACGGTAATCCAGCAACAGACCCCAGATTAGCGTACGCCACTGATTTACGACAGTCACGCATCGGTGATTTTGAACTCAGCCAAGATTTGACCAATCAAAATAAACCTAGATGTAAACAGAAAATAAAATGCGCGAATTACGAATACGAATATTTCGCGCGAATACTTACGCCGCGTTCGTTAATCGCCCAGTCTGGACATCTTGCTAGTTACGCCATGGATTAACGTACGCCCGGCGTTAAATACGCCTGGCGTATCTCACATGTCTGAACGTAGCCTAAATCATAGAGATATAATAAGAATACTAGAGCACTAACAGCAATGTATTCGATGTTCGAAATACGCAGAGCTGTGTGTGTGTACCATCCAAGATGGCTGCCATAGATTCAGCCAATCAAATTTCCTCTGAGCGCTATCATTTTCAATTGCGCCCTCAATTTACACAGAAAGTTCAGTACAGCTAGTTACCCGCATTTTGAAACTCGAGCGTTGCGGTGTATGGGTGTAATGTACACGATTTTAATTCTTTTCAAAATTTGAATAAGATGCTCTACTTGGCCTCTTTTTGGCTACGACAGTTTAATAATTTGTCATTATCAATACTAATTATCATTAATGAAATAATATTCAGTCAGAGGGCTTATTTATGGTAATAATATGTATACCAGGCCCGTAGCCAGGGGGGGTTTTTATGGTTCGGGCGAACCCCCCTTTTCTAGCGAACCCCCCTGTTTTCTAGCGAACCCCCTCAAATTTTTGAATGAGTCCCACCCGTTTTTAAATTGTAGCCTG